ACACAAGTATATATACTGTATATATATATATATATATATATATATATATATACACACACACACACACACAAGTATATATATAGATAATAAAAACACATCTCAACATGCAGTGTATGCGTGTGTGTATATATATATATATATATATATACATATACACACACACACACACACATACATATACACACACGTACAAATATACACATACACTGCATGTTGAAATGTGTTTTTATTACAAAGTATATGAAAAATATTTTTAAAAATACATTTCAAATATACTGTATGTCTTTAAAAATACAAATCTACATTTTTAGAATGAATTTACAAATATATGTAAAAATATTTGTTAAAATTACTTTTTTATATGTAAAAAAAAATCTGAAGAGATATATTTAAAATAAAAAAACAGTACATTTGAAATGTATTTTTAAAAATATTTTTCATATATTTTGTAATAAAAACGCATTTCAACATGTGCTGTATATATATTTATTGAAATATATTGAATATGGCCAAAAAAATTGTAGTATTTCAAATATATAGCAAAATATTTGGGAAGAATATTTTTTAAAATATATTTTAAATATATTTTTCTTCCATATGGGTTTGTAACAAGAAGTGCAAGTTAGTTGCAATCATGTGCACTGCTCTACCTCATAGTCCATCTCAGAAGCAACCAAAAGATGGTAGCTATGTAGCTACATACAGTGGGACCATGGAGAATAAACATAGCCACCCTCTATCAGAAAGCCAGATTTTGGAGATTTGGAGGAGCTGGAGAGCAAAAGAGGGTGCTTTTTGAGTTAGTAATGCATGCATTTTTGGTGGCTCCTTTATTGTAAGCAATGCATGCCACATACATTAGCTCTAAAATTGAGTGCACTGGTGGAAAAACCACTCTGGAAAGGCATGTGCCTTTGTATACTACAGGGCTAAGACCAGGGACCCGGGTGGGCTATCTGACAGGGTGCCTGGATCACAAGGCTGCTTATCAGATAACACAGCTCACATGTGTTTTAAAGTGTTACTAAACCCACAACAGTAAAATCAGTCTGTATATGCAGTAAAGCATACTTGTCATACACACTGTGGAACCTAAGGGGTTAATCCTCTGCATTGTGTAAAAAGGCTGTTTGATCCTGTCTTCTCTGTTCCTCCCCTTTGTCAAGCGACCTCCTCTTATATCCTGATAACACAGACTGAATTGTAGGCATTTTGCACATGCTCAGTTTGGTGTGTATTGCTAGAGAGGTTTTTTTTTTTCCTTGGGAGAGTGCATGTGATCAGCACAGGGCCAATCAGCACTCTCCAGACAGAGGTCAGCGGTTTTGCATCCTCCTAGAGCAGAAAGAAAACTCCTCCTACAAGCTTTATCTAGTGCTGGGCTGGACACTGATAGAATTTACAAAATGTCTCTAACTTCTGATGAGAAAAGGTATTTAGCAATGTATATTTACTAAAATAATTGCATTTCTGTGTACTGTGTACTGTGGGAGACCAGACATAGTGGATACAAGGTCATGGATTTGGTAACACAAAGTATTTCTGAGGCTAAAAAGCAAAATGTATTATTATATTGCAGCTACCAGTATTTGGGTGTGGCGGTTGCATTAGTTTTTACTTTTCAGGCTAAGAACATTTTCAGCAAGTACAGGAAATACCTATAGATCTTTTCATACATGCAGTGTCCTGGTTACTTTGTGTATGTTTAAAAATTACGTACAAATATTCCTACTTTCAGGATAAAATGTGCTAGCCTGGGGTTGGGGTGGGATTCCTCCATCTACCTTGTTTGTAAGGATGGAGGAATCTGTTTTGTTTCATTCAGCCTGCTGGCTGAACAACAAAAAAAATGTATCTTCAGCTGTGTAGCTTAAATCTTTTAAATGGGCACTGTTTTGATTTAAATTCAGCTGTATGCATTGATAAACCTCCTTAAACCCAACCTGTCTAGACAGTAGGGTCACCTGCTGACTTGGCAGCATCCACAGACAGCTTAACTCTTCAATGACACACAGAAGTTGAATCCAACACATTTTAATTGTAGTACAGACAGGGGCAGACTGACAACTCATGGGGCCCCCGGGCAATAGGGGATCATGGGGCCCCTGTGTTTACAAAAAGACTATGAAAAAGGTACCAGGGGTATCTCATGGGGCCCCCTACTGACCCCGGGCCTCGGGCAGTGCCCAAGTTTCCAAATGGTCAGTCCACCCCTGAGTACAGAGGATAATTTTCAAGTCTTTTGAAATGTAAGAGGGCAATGTCTTTCCCAAACTGACTAGCTCTAAATCTCAGGGAAGGACAGAGGGAGATATTAAAATCACATAAATAAGTTGCAATGGCCCTAAACTGCCAATAGATTCATAAATCAAACACAGGCACCTTATACAGCAAGTACAACAGAGAAAAAAAACCCATACAGTTGCAAGAAAAAGTATGTGAACCCCTTGGAATTACGTGGAGTTTTGCATGAATTGGGCATAAAATGTGCTCTGAACGTCATCTAAGTCACAACAATAGAAGAAAACACAGTCTGCTGAACATAATACTACACAAACATTAGATGTTGCCATGGTTTAATTGCACATAACATGTAAACATGCACAGTGCAGGGAGGAAAAAGTATGTGTGGCCCTAGCTTAATGACTTCTCCCAGAGCTAATTGGAGCCAGGAGTGAGCCAACCTTGACTCCAATCAGTGTGATGATATTGGATGTGTTGCTGACAGCTGTCCTGCCCTTAAAAAACACACACGTGTTTTGGGTTTACTGGTTTCAAGAAGCACTGTCTGATGTGAACCATGCCTCGCAGAAAAGAGCTCTCAGAAGACCTACGAACAAGAATTGTTGACTTGCATGAAGCTGGAAAGGGTTACAAAAGTATCTCCAAAAGCCTTGATGTTCATGTGTCCACGGTAAGACAGACTGTCTACAAATGGAGAAAGTTTAGCACTGTTGCTACTCTCCCTAGGCGTGGTCGTCCTGTAAAAATGACTGCAAGAGCACAGCGCAGAATGCTGCATGAGGTAAAGAAGAATCCCAGAGTGTCAGCTAAAGACCTACAGAAATCTCTGGCACATGCTAACATTTTTGTTGACACAACTACAATAAGGAAAACATTAAACAAGAATGGATTACATGGGAGGACACCACGGAGGAAGCCATTGCTGTCCAAAAAGAATATTGCAGCACTTTTGAAGTTTGCAAAAGAGCACCTGGATGTTCCACAGCACTACTGGCAAAATATACTGTGGACAGATGAAACCAAGATTGAGTTGTTAGGGAAGAACACAACACTATGTGTGGAGAAAAAAAGGCACGGCACACCAACATCAAAACCTCATCCCACACTGTGAAACATGGCGGAGGGAGCATCATGGTTTGGGGCTGCTTTGCTGCCTCAGGGCCTGGACGGATTGTTGTCATTGATGGGAAAATTAATTCCAGAGTTTATCAAGACATTTTGCAGGAAAACATACGACCATCTGTCCACCAACTGAAGCTCCGCAGAGGATGGGTGATGCAACAGGACAATGACCCAAAGCATACAAGTAATTCAACAAAACAATGGCTGCAACAGCACAGAATACGCCTTCTGGAGTGGCCCAGTCAGAGTCCTGACCTCAACCGATTGAAATGCTGTGGCATGACCTTAAGAGAGCGATTCACACCAGACATCCCAAGAATATTGCTACACTGAAACAGTTTTGTGAAGAGGAGTGGTCCAAAATGACTCCAGATCGTTGTGCAGGTCTGATCTGCAACTACAGGAAATGTTTGGTTGAGGTTATTGCTGCCAAAGGAGGGTCAACCAGTTATTAAGTCCAAAGGTTCACATAATTTTTCCTCCCTGCACTGTGAATGTTTACATGTTATGTGCAATGAAACCATGGCAACATCTAATGTTTGTGTAGTATTATGTTCAGCAGCAACTGTGTTCTTCTATTGTTGTGACTTAGATGACGTTCAGAGCACATTTTATGCCCAATTCATGCAAAACTCCACGTAATCCCAAAGGGTTCACATACTTTTTCTTGCAACTGTATATATAGGTGGGGCAGACAGCTGTTTTGGCTTCAGCTAAGAAGGGATTCCCCTTTATTTCGGAAAGATTTCCTCTTACTTTCTACTGTTCCTCCAGGACAGAAAGTGAAATGAAATGCCACCATCTGTGTCACAGAGAAAGAAAGAAACCTCATAGCATATAAATAAAAACAAAGTTTGGGCCAGAGATGCGCTTTAAGTACAGATACGGAGTGTTTTCGTTCCATCAAGTTCAGGAGCGGAAAACCCTTTCTGGTTAATATACAGTATACATCCTAATATAATCTGCCTTGGATCTGCTCTTTGCCAAATGTAAAATTCAATATACAGTCCCCCCCACCCCTTAGAATCTGCTGTCTGCTTTTCTTCAACTTCAGCTTTAATGCCTTGCAATGTTCGGCTGGCACTCCCCCCTAGAAGTGAATTCCTGAGCCCTATTAGACGGGGAAATGGGACTTCCTCTGGCTCGTTTTCATTCTACCTTTGTGTGGTTTTCCTCATGTTCTTTTCATCGGAGCAGCTAAGCCATGATATAACAATCTCACATATTTTCCACACCTGGCTCTGAGCTCTATAATTCCTCCTCTGTGCCGGATTAGCCTACTGGATAAATACAGCTAAATAAGTCTGAAATGCACGAATGTTAACTTTGTGAAGCAAGAGCTGCGGTGGTGTCAGTCCATGCACCACAGGACACAACGGAGTCCTGCACAAGGCCAACGCTCATGTGGGAATGTATAGGTTCTTCAATCCTTTCTTAGATATGTATCTATTCTAATCTATCAAAAACCTTTGTTGGGTAGGTGCAGCGTGATGTGGAGGCAGAAAACACACAGTCCCTGCTTGCAGAAAACAATGTATTGTACAAACAGTACAACAGCCCAGAGGTGAAGCACATCCAACCAGGGAACTCACAGGTATGGTGGAGAGTAGGCCCAAGCTGGAGACAGTGCCTGTTAACCACTTCTCCTCCATCCCATAAAACGGCCAGACGGGAGCAGTGCAGGGGCGGGTTGCCGTTCGCGAACGGCGCCCCACCATTTTAGTCTGGGAGCGCGCAGCACTGCGATCCGGTGCCTGCTGTGTCTGGAGGACGTTTCTAAACATCCCCCAGCATCCATTGCCTGTGTACGCTCCCTGGGAGCGCACAGCACCGTGATCTGTGCCCGCTGTATCCACCGGACACAGCGGAACACCGATCGCTGTATGGGACCTCTGTGTGAGGTTCCGATCATGTGATCACTAATTGGCCAATCAGTGATCACATGAATAGTAATAACCAAGATGTCACTTCTGACATCATTGCTTACTACATGATATCTGTGAATGATCACAGAGATCACATGGTACAAGGCTATTCACAACAGTCTTGTACCATGTGACAAGCTGTGACCAATCAGTATTTCTCAATGGCTGGAATGGCTGCAAGAATGCAGCCTTTATGGATGTAAAAGCAATCAGTGTAAAGAAAAAAAAAATAATAATAATCTTCATCACCCCCCCCCCCCACAAGTAATAGTTTCACTATGGTGACAGTATGTTTTAAAAAAAAAAACAAAACCCCAAATACTAATATAAAAAATAAAATAAAAAGGTAAAACTTTTTTGAAAAATTATAAATTTTTGGTTATAAACTAATTTGTTTTTTTTTTTTACTAAAAAGATAGCGGAATACATTTTGGCCAAGATTTATGAAGAAAGATTATTTATTTGCAAAACTTTATAAGAAAAACAAAATAATTTTTGGACTTTCATTTATATAGCAGAAAAAATAAAAATCCCAGTGGTGAATAAATAGCACCAAAATGAAGTTTTATCTGTCTCAAAAAAATTCTAAAAAATTCATATGGGCACAGTGTTGCATGACCGCGCAATTGTCATTCAAAGTGCGACAGCGCTGAAAGCTGAAAATTGGCCTGGACTGGAAGGGGGTAAAAGTGTCCGGACTGGAAGTGGTTAAGAAAGTGGAGTGCAGCCTGACCAGTCCAACGCAAAGTGGAGCTTGCTGAGTTTCAGACAAAGGCCCATGGTTTCCCTACTCCTCTGGAACCACTCCTTACCACTGGTGCTGTCCCTGACAGATGGGTATCCTGTCCCTGCACTACCCACTCGCAAAAAGAGCTCCAAACCTGGGGGTGGGGACTTAAATAAGACTCTGTGTGAACCAAGATGGCCACCAGGGTAACCTGGAATCAGCATAGCACTATCCCAGGGGACCAAGGGAATCATGGAGAAACTCATTTTTTTCTGGATGTCCGCCACCTGCAGTGGAGAATGTAGACTGCACCTGCCTACATCTTGTTTGTAAATATAGTTTGAAATTATGTAGGTACATAGGTGTAGCCATATTTGATCAATATACAAGTGTTCAGTCCTGCTTTGTATGGTTACACAAGGGTTGTGCATTTTCTGCTTTCAAAGCAATCTTTGAGTTCGGTGACTCATTAAAATCAGTACATTCCCTTGTGGGTGATGTATGGAGCAGGGCCCTCCTAACCCTCTTGTATTGAACTGTATTGTCTCCCATTATATTGTAAAGCGCTGAGCAAACTGTTGGCGCTATATAAATCCTGTATAATAATAATAATAATATATCTATGCAGAGACCTTGCAGCCAGCCCATTTTCTGTATTTCCCGTACGATTATATGTGTGTCATGTTTCACATGACTGTCATATGCCTAAGTGTTCTCTATATTTTGTCTCTGCTCCTCTCTTTCTTTTGGTTTAGTTAATGCTGTATAGATAGCCCACCCCCTTCCCAGTAATGCACTTCCGAAAGCCTCATGTCTCATGAAGCAGAGCACATTATGATCTTTTGACCTATCAGATGTTCATTGTTGTAAGATTCTCTCAGACTATCTCATCACAACTGTAAGTTACAGAGATCACACTTTCAATGCTTAGATTGGAGAGACAGAACAATGTGCATGTGGGTGGGTGCAGCGCTGTAAATCGGCAGTAACTACACATGCAAGTCCTGATACATGCAATTAGAGATGAGCAAATCGAACTTGGCGAAGTGGAATTCGTTTCGAATATTAGAAAAAATTCGCGCCGAATCCGAAAATTAGCAGACTTCTGATGCGCGAATCGAAATTTTTCCAAAAATGGCGGCGACATGTGTGGCGACGGAGCGGGGGATCTCTGGGAAGGCGCGCAGACAAGGCGCGCTGACCCATAATGCATTCATTCATGACATGTGATCGCATTAGCCAATCAGCAGCCAGCCAGCCAGCACTGTGTAATGGTGGAGCTATAAATTGCGGCCATCTTACAATTCTCCATTTGCCTCCGGTCATTCAAGAGAGACAGACCTCTCTGTATTAGGGACAGAGTTAGGGCCACAGATACTTTAGGGACACAGAATCGTTACTTAGGGACACAGAATTGTTACTCAGGGACACAGAACTGTTACTCAGGGACACAGAACTGTTACTCAGGGACAGACACAGAATTGTTACTGAGGGACACAGAATTGTTACTGAGGGACACAGAATTGTTACTGAGGGACACAGAAATGTTACTGAGGGACACAGAATTGATACTCAGGGACACAGAACTGTTACTCAGGGACACAGAACTGTTACTCAGGGACACAGAACTGTTACTCAGGGAGAGACACAGAATTGTTACTGAGGGACACAGAATTGTTACTGAGGGACACAGAATTGTTACTGAGGGACACAGAATTGTTACTCAGGGACAGACACAGAATTGTTACTGAGGGACACAGAATTGTTACTGAGGGACACAGAATTGTTACTGAGGGACACAGAATTGTTACTCAGGGACAGACACAGAATTGTTACTGAGGGACACAGAATTGTTACTGAGGGACACAGAATTGTTACTCAGGGACAGACACAGAATTGTTACTAAGGGACACAAAATTGTTACTCAGGGACACAGAATTGTTACTCAGGGACAGACACAGAATTGTTACTGAGGGACACAGAATTGTTACTGAGGGACACAGAACTGTTACTCAGGGACACAGAATCGTTACTCAGGGACACAGAATCGTTGAATTAAAGAGTATGTCAGACAACACAAGGAGGAGTGTCAGAGGAGGCCATGTTTTAAGAGCGAGCAGACGTGGCAGCAGAGGAAGGGGTCGAGGCAGCACTAGTCGCAGCCAGAGGCCAGTGCTCCCGGTGTCATCCAGCGGTCGTGTCTCCACCAACAACCCTGCCGTCATCGATTGGTTGGCTCGGTCGTCTTCCTCTTCCCAGGTCACCTCTGACACCTACAGCCAACGGTCGGTGGGTACGTCAGACACAACCGTTAGTTGGCATGGCCCGGGAGCAAGCCCACTGAAATCACGTGTCCTCGACCTGCCCCTGTCCTTTGGTGTTCCCTCACCAAGCGAAGTATCGCATGCTGTGGGCTCAGCCCCACTCTACAGTGAGGAAGAGCTAACAGAGGGTGGTCAGGAACGGGGGGAGACATCCGCCTCTTCAGCAGCCAGGCGAAGAAGTACTACTGGCGAGGAGAGTGGCTCGGTAGCCGGTCTAGAGACAGGTCTGTCTCCTGACCCACACGCAGCCGAGGGGGCTAGTAGTGAGGCGGAGACCCTAATTGATGATGATGAGGCTGATCGCACTTGGCAGCCTCGTCGTCATCAGGCTATTGCTTCCGCATCATCAGGAGAAGAGGGTGCAAGCTTGGCAGCGAGCAAAACAGTCGGTGGGTTGCCCCAGGAGGCAGCAGGGTCGCAGCAGTGTCAGTGGAAACGGCCAAACGGCCAGTAGAGCACCAGCTCCACTGCAGCCTACCACCACGGCCAGTAGTGGTGCCGGTGTGCACGGAGGAAGTAGCAGTCAGCCAGTGAGGAGTAGCGGGGGCAATGTTTCCTACTCGGCGGTGTGGCAATTTTTCGTCAAGCCGCCCGAGGAAGTAAACGTAGCCGTATGTTGACTATGTGGCCAGAAAGTCAAGCGTGGCCAGGGGGCCCATGTCTCCATCGCCACACTCTGCCATGTGCCACTTTCAGGTCTCCTCCTCACACTGCTGGTGGGTTCCATTGTGTCATAGGGTGCTGGCAGAGTACGGGCCTCCCATTGCTGCTGCCAGGCCCGTAATCTGCCATGGGCCCCCGTACCGCCTCCTCATGCTGCTGCCAGGTCCAGAGTCTCTCATGGGTCCCTGTACGGCCTCCCATTGCTGCTGTCTCCATCGCCACACTCTGCCATGTGCCACTTTCAGGTCTCCTCACACTGCTGGTGGGTTCCATTTTGTCATAGGGTGCTGGCAGATTACGGGCCTCCCATTGCTGCTGCCAGGCCCGTAATCTGTCATGGGCCCCTGTACCGCCTCCTCATGCTGCTGCCAGGCCCGTAATCTGTCATGGGTCCCTGTACGGCCTCCCATTGCTGCTGTCTCCATCGCCACACTCTGCCATGTGCCACTTTCAGGTCTCCTCACACTGCTGGTGGGTTCCATTTTGTCATAGGGTGCTGGCAGATTACGGGCCTCCCATTGCTGCTGCCAGGCCCGTAATCTGCCATGGGCCCCTGTACCGCCTCCTCATGCTGCTGCCAGGCCCGTAATCTGTCATGGGTCCCTGTACCGCCTCCTCATGCTGCTGCCAGGTCCAGAGTCTCTCATGGGTCCCTGTACGGCCTCCCATTGCTGCTGTCTCCATCGCCACACTCTGCCATGTGCCACTTTCAGGTCTCCTCACACTGCTGGTGGGTTCCATTTTGTCATAGGGTGCTGCAGATTACGGGCCTCCCATTGCTGCTGCCCGACCCGTAATCTGTCATGGGCCCCTGTACCGCCTCCTCATGCTGCTGCCAGGTCCAGAGTCTCTCATGGGTCCCTGTAAGGCCTCCCATTGCTGCTGTCTCCATCGCCACACTCTGCCATGTGCCACTTTCAGGTCTCCTCACACTGCTGGTGGGTTCCATTTTGTCATAGGGTGCTGGCAGATTACGGGCCTCCCATTGCTGCTGCCAGACCCGTAATCTGTCATGGGCCCCCGTACCGCCTCCTCATGCTGCTGCCAGGTCCAGAGTCTCTCATGGGTCCCTGTACGGCCTCCCATTGCTGCTGTCTCCATCGCCACACTCTGCCATGTGCCACTTTCAGGTCTCCTCACACTGCTGGTGTGTTCCATTTTGTCATAGGGTGCTGGCAGATTACGGGCCTCCCATTGCTGCTGCCAGACCCGTAATCTGTCATGTCATGGGCCCCTGTACCGCCTCCTCATGCTGCTGCCAGGTCCAGAGTCTCTCATGGGTCCCTGTACGGCCTCCCATTGCTGCTGTCTCCATCGCCACACTCTGCCATGTGCCACTTTCAGGTCTCCTCACACTGCTGGTGGGTTCCATTTTGTCATAGGGTGCTGGCAGATTACGGGCCTCCCATTGCTGC